TGGGACCCAGTTCAACTAAAAGCTGCCACACAGCAAAAGAAACCATCAACAGAGTAAACAGAACCTACAGAATGGGGGGAATTATTCACAAACTATGCATCCAACAAAGGTCTAATATTCAGATTCTATAAGGAACTTAAGTCAACAGCAAAAAACAACCCCATTTATAAAGGGGCAAATAAACACTTCTCAAAAGAAGACATACACGCAGCCAACAAACATGAAAAAATGCTCATCACTACTCATCACGAGAGAAATGCAAATCAAAACCACAATGAGATATTATCTCACACCAGTCAGAATGGCTGTTTTTAAAAAGTTAAAGTAGCAGATACTGGCAAGGATAAGGAGAAAAGGAAATGCTTATACACTGTTGGTGGGAATGTAAGTTAGTTCAGCCACTGTGGAAAGCAGTTTGGAGATTTCTCAAAGAACATAAAACAGAACTAACATTCAGCCTGGCAATCCCATTACTGAATATGTATCCAAAAGAAAACAAATCATTCCACCAAAAAGACACATGCACTCGAATGTTTATTGCAACACGAGTCACAATAGCAAAGACATGGGATCAACCTAGGTGCCCCTCAGCAGTGGACTGGATAAAGATGTGGTACATATAGACCATGGAATACCATGCAGCCACAAAAGAATGAAATTATGTTCTTTGTGGGAAAATGGCTAGAGCTAGAAGCCATTAGTTGAACTAGTGTAGTAACAGAAAACAAATGCCTCATGTTCTTAAAGGTAGAAGCTAAACTCTGAGTACCCATGGACATAAAGATGGTGACAATCGACATTAGAACCGCTAGGAGTGGGAGGGAGGAAGGAAAAGGTTGAAAAACCGCTGAGTACTGTGTTCAGTACCTGGGTGTTGAGATCATTCATACCCCAAACCTCAGCAGCACACAATATAGCCAGGTAACTAACCTGCACATGTACACCCTGAATCTAACATAAAAGCTGAAAAAGAAAAAACAGAATGGAATCTCTGTTTTCAGAATATCAGTTGTGCCCGTCTTCCATTTGATATTCTCACTATTGGCTATATTTGGGGGTATCCTATTTCCCCATCTCATAACTTATTTTAAGAAGCACAGAATAATAATGTGTGGGTTTGGGATTCAGTTTCTGAAATAAAACACTGAGCCTTCAGTGACCTTCCTGTACATGTAACAGCGCAGCTGTCTGCATGGCAGCAGTTGGACCTCACAAGGTGGATTGTGCCTTCACGCTGGAAAGTTTATGGTGCCCTATCACCATGGTGGTGGGAGTAGGGATCTCTTGCCCTTGGTCCTAAGTGCCACTGTCTGTGCTGAGTTTTTCAAAGGTCAGAGCAGATTGAACTTTTGTGCTTTCGTTTTTCCTGATTTTGATTTTTCTTATGGGGAACCGGTTTTCCTGCTTTCAAGGTATGTTTTCATACTGGCCTGTCAAATAGGCCGAATGCTGTCTTTTCAAATTACTAGTTAATACTTTCAAATACGTTATTTAAAAAGTTACCCTCTGTATTTTCCGTATGGAGTTATAAATACGTTTTGTGGTTATGTTTTATTCCTCACTTTATATATTTGATTCTTGTATCAAGCAGGGTGCCTTTGAACTTTTTCTTCATTTAAAAAATAATGTATCATTTCCTTTTACATCCTACACCCTTCAATGCTCCCGACCCAAATTAAGTTATTCCCTTGAGGAGAATATGGCAAAGTCTATTTTTAATGTAGTTTTTAACCTAATTAAGAACATACAAAATCATTACTTTCAAAAAGTTGGGAGCAAAGCCACAGTAGTACAGATGGGTTTGAGGCTTTTCACACAATAAAATGTACCTATCTTTGTTTTTAACATGTTTTTCCTTCCTCTCTTCTTTTGTTGTGAAATGTGTATTTAGTTTAATGAATTTGTAGTAAGTCATGTCCATTCACATATTAATTTTAAAAAGTAATAAGTGTGTATTGTCGGCATGTGAAATAAAACACACATTTATTTTTATGCTTTGGGAGTTATCCAAAATCACAGAATTGGAAATTATAGTCAACCACCCAACCTACCCACCATTCCAGAGTAATCTTAGTCAAACTTTTTTTTGTTACCCAATGAAATTCAGTATTTCAACACAGAAAGATAAATAGAATGAATTGATAGAGACTGTTAACTAAGAACGTACACTTTTATTTATACTCAGAAACAAGTAGATCGTGTACGTACACATGAAGATAAAAATTAAAGGGATAATTGTGTGAGTTTGCACGTAGAGAGTTTGCACGTAGAGAGGTTTGGAAACCTGCTGACTTGTTAATGCTGTTTGGATGGACTGTGTGCCCTGGTTCTCCCGAGCCGTCATCCAGACCCAGTCTGTGCAGGAGCTCAGTGCTCATCAGTTGCATGACTTGGAAACTAAGTTTAGAGGCACTTGTATGTGTTAGTAAATAAGGCAAGATGATATCGTTTCATAGGTTTTAGTGCAGAAGACCGAATAGATAAGCTGCTCCACCCAGTACACTGGTGTTCATTTCATGGTCATCTCATCTGTTGACCATGGATGTAAAACACTTATCTTCAGTGACCTTCCTGTGCATGTAAAAGCACAGCTGTCCGCATGGCAGCAGTTGGACCTCACAAGGTGGATTGTGCCTTCACCCTGGAAAGTTTATGATGCCCTATCGCCATGGTGATGGGATTAGGGATCTCTTGCCCTTTGCTCTGCCACGGTCTGTGCCAGCCAGGCCACTGGGCCATTGTGGCAGACAATGGTGTCCTTTGTGTGGAGGACAGAGTGTGCGCTCAGGCAGACACAGCACTTTTGACAACTTTATCTAATTATTTCAAAACTGGGTCTGAATTATGATAAAGTGGTTGGTTTTAGGCCAAGCAGGTGTATGTCACAGAACCAATGGCTTGGGAGTTCAGAATCCTGGGTTTGAATGAGCCTCTGAGCCTTATTTAAGCTGTGAAATCTAAAGCAAGACATATCACTGATAATAGTTAAGCCTCATGAGCACTTACACCGTACACTTTACCTACATCGAATCATTCAGCCATCACCACAGACATATGGCATGATTGATTTACTGTCACCTTTCACTGGGCAGAAAAAGAGATGAATGTGCCCAAGCTTATGAGCCCCAAGATGGGAACCCAAGCATATGGCCCCAGTGCTGACGCTCTGAACTACCGACCTGTCCTCAGCACTCGGCCATGGGATCATGAGTCACTGTACAAGGGAGTTCCCACATCTGCATGTATGTGTGGAATGACCTGAGCCTGCAGAGTTCTACACACTAGTCACATTATAGGGTGGTGTCCGTGGTCACATAGGTCAGGGCAAGTATTAGTACATGAATAGCTTAGCTGTGTCATAGTCTTTATGTAAAAGGCACATAAAAGCCCAAATGCTTTTGAACTGGTTGTGCATTTTGAGTTGGAGGACAACACTTGGGACAACCGGTCACATTCTCTCAGTGCTTGGCCACTCCTCAGCACATAAACCAAAGCCGATACATAATGGGAAGACCCTTTATTGGTATTTGATGGCATTATGAACTTCAAATGACCCCTAGAGAAATGTTAAAAAAGTCTGTGAGCTACACAACCTGGGGACGAGACAAGTAAGAACACAAAATACCACTTAATCATTAGCCTCATGTATCACCCTGGTAGCAACTCCCTTGGCAGCTGGTTTGAAGAGCCTCACTGCTCACCAGGGGCCATCTCCCCGCTATGCCCTCTCTCCCTGTGGGTTGCCTGGGCTGAACATAGGCAGCCCCTCACACGATGACTGCAAACACAAGGCAAAGGAAGGCTAAATGGAAAATGTATTATTATAGTGGTTATTTTAAAATACAAGTATTTCACTATTTTCTAATCTTTAATAATTGATTATTTTTAGGGGAGGGTGGGCTTTTTTTCTTTTTTAACAAAGTCTTGCTCTGTCGCCCAGGCTGGAGTGCACTGGCATGATCTTCGCTCACCGCAACCGCTGCTTCCTGGGTTCAGGCGATTCTCCTGCCTCAGCCTCTGAAGCAGCTGGAACAACAGGCGCATGCCACCACGTCCGGCAAATTTTTTTGTGTTTTTAGTAGAGATGGGATTTCACTGTGTTAGCCAGGATGGTCTTGATCTTCTGACGTCATGATCCGCCTGCCTTGGCTTCCCAAAGTGCTGGGATTACAGGCATGAGCCACTGCACCTGGCCTTTTTTTTTTTTTTTCCCTGAGATGGAGTCTCACTCTGTTGCCCACGCTGGAGTGCAGTGGCACGATCTCAGGTCACTGCAACCTCTGCCTCCAGGTTTGAGGGATTCTCCTGCCTCAGCCTCCCGAGTAGCTGAGATGACAGGCGCACATCACCATGCCTAATTTTTTTTTTTTTTTTTTAATAGAGACGCAGTTTCATTATGTTGGTCAGGCTGGTCTTGAACTCTTGATCTCAAATGATCCACCCGCCTTGACCTCCCAAAGTACTGGGATTACAGGTGTGAGCCACCATACCTGGCCGATTATTTTTTTAACAAAGAAAATAAATATAATTAATGCTAGTGCATGGAATTAAATCTAGTTTTTAAAAAATTCACACATAAACAAGATCAGAACCCTATACCCTCCACGATAAATGCAGTAGCAGTGTATGTGGGTCTATGGAGGTTGAAAGGGACTTGGTAGATGTCAAGAAGGTAGTGGCCGTCCTGCTGGGCTTTTAAAGGGTCTGAAGAAGTGACAGGACGCTATGGTTGAATCCTAGCATGTATTTTAGTATTTGTTTATTTGGAGTTTGATTATTTCACGTTGCTTTCATTTGCCATTACCTGGAAAGCCAAGGGCTCTACTCCCATTTCCTTCCTGCTCTTTTTTGTCTTCCTTGGTCCATGAAGAGGATGGTCTAGGAGAAGCTCAATCTGTGCTTGTTAACCAGGCACACCCCTAAGTTCTAGTCCCTTAGTCATTCATGAATAGCACCACCAATGAACTGACAGCCATGCTGTGTCTTTCCACATCCCCTAGGTGACTTGAAGAAGCCTTCCAAAAAGCATGTGAAAAGGGAGCCCTGCTCTACCACCACGGTAAAGTAGCCTGTCTTTGCCTAAGATGTAAATGTTGTTTTTTTGGTTCCTTTATATTTCAGTTGTTATCAGCTATGGGAAAATTAACCGGTACATTATAGATGTTCGATAATATATCCTTGGGAATGGAGGAGGTGTATCTTACCAACTGACGCCTGATTCCAGAGGACATACACAGTTGGCCGTGTCAGATAGTACAGTGTATGTTAAGGGATATTTTCCTCAGGAACAAGTTTTCCACTTTAGATAGGAATTCTGTCATTGCCACCCAAAAATTATCTAGACAGAAGCATTCTTCAGGAAAAGCCCCTGTGCTTTCTTAAGGGAACTCTACTCTAGAGTTGAGGCTTTTGACTTGAACATTCTTTCCCACCTTCGTTACTCAGTTTCCAAGTGAATAAAAGACCTGTACGAACCATCCATAGCATGGCCTGATTCTCAGTGTTTTCCTTCTCTAATTACAGGTGACTTCTTCGAGCACAATCAATGGTACGTATTCTGGAATCACTCACTGGCTGTTAGAGAAAGATTCTATAGGAAATGTGGAGCCTAACTGCTGGCTTTTGTCTGGAGAGCCTCCATGATCCAAGACCCGGGGGGGAATGAGGATGTGGGGTATAGTAAGAGAAACTGGTTTTCCAGGTGAAAAACTGTTTTATCTATGTATAGTTCCTGGGAACGTGTTCACATTAGGTTGTGTGCGGGTGTGTATTATGCAGCGGGGTGGGGGTGGTCTATGTGCAAGTCTGCATGATTCGCTTGTGACTGTGTGTCTGTGTGTGTTTCCCCCAGGAAAAAAATGTGTTTGCCCAGCACAACGCTCAGTGCCATTTTTCTTAATTTAACATATCAGACCACATACTTTACTTACATTAGTTCAAACCTCCTCATGGACATATGTTGTGAGCTTGTTTATTGAACCCCCATACCAGATGGAGAAACTAAGTCACAGAAATAAATGTGCCCTGGCTCACTTGCTACAAAGTGAGGAGCCAGGATGTTTACTCATATGGTCCCAGTGTTGAAGGCCTGAACTACAGCCTCTACTTATCAGCCAGTGAAGGGATCACTATTCACCATGCAAGGGAGTTCCAGCACCCTCTATGCCTGGAATTACCCAAGCCTGCAGAGATCTCAAATGCCATCCCTCACATAAGAGAGCCTCAGTGATCTCAGAATCCACGTAGCTATGTAGGCATCTCCCTGCAGGTTTCACATAGTCCTTAGTGTGAAACCAACATAGAAAGCCCGTATTTCTGATGAAATCACAGGTTCTGAAACACTAAGGGAGTCACTAAGTAGGACAGTGTGGTGCCTGCATGTCATGGCTGGGTCTCCTCAAGACATGGCTCAAGTCCAATAAGAATTGGGGAGATGCTTTAGAGTCTTGGATGGAGTTATCACCACAAGCCCTCTGAGCTACACACTTTAGGGATCATGATCATTAAGTACTCAAATTACCACTTGATGGTTATCCGGGTGTCCGTCGTCCTTGTGGCAACTCTCTTGTGAAGCTGGTGGGAGAGCGTCAGTGCTGGAGCTGTGCCTCCCTTCTGGATGGACCCTCCCTGTGTTAGCAGATGGGTGCAGGCATGGGGGTCAGCACGCTCAGTGGATTTACATACACAGCATTGAGCAGTAAGGCTGGGCTTCATTATTCACACATTTTCAATAACTGATGATCTTCATAATGTAAAATCAATGATTTACTATACTAGAATACTCTTCCAGTATTGAATCATATCACTCAATAAAGGATTTGTAAAGTCACATGAGAGTTCCCATTCAACTGATGATACGAGCCATAGCAGCAGTTAAAGCAGTCATTTGAAAAGGCTTTTACTGTAAACTTATGGGTGAGCCTGAAGTGGGGGATAGAAGAGGTGATTAGCTCCCCTGTGCAATGTTTCTATTACATGAGTGGTGGAGGACAATTAGGAAGGTGATGGAGGGAACAGAGCAAAGGATTGGACAGGTCCAGTGAACCCATAAGACTATGGTGAGGTTAGTGAATGAGACTGGTCATTTTAAGTCAAATTTTACCTTGTGTGTTCTTTCCATGCTTTCTTCCAGTAGTTCCTTCTATTTCTCATTAACTAGAGTTGTGCTGGGTAAACACATGTTTTTCCTTGGAGAAACTCACATAAAAGAGGGCAAAGCTTTGTAATAACATAAAAGTTAGTACAGCTGTGATAGCTCAAATTTTATAAAATACTGGGGGCTTTTGCCTGAGACCTGGATGACAGTTGTGTAAGAATCGGGGGTTCCTCTGAAGACTATTGGGCTTCTGAGAAGAAAGATCGAAGTTGTCTTTGTGTGATATGGAGTCAGTCTTCACTGCCTACGGTCTGTCTGAGAGGGATGTTGAGTGCTCAGTGAACTCTGTGGTCTTCCTGAAACCCAACTTTGATTCAGCAGGCTCTGCTTGAAAGCCTTTAAAGAGCAGGATCATAAAATTAAACTTAGAACAGATTATCACTATTTTCCCTCTGGTCTTCTGTCAGCAAGATGTCAACAGTCCTCTCTATTGTAAATGCATTAACCAGCATCTTCTCTGATAGAAATTTTGAGAAGATACAGCCTGTACACCACCCAACGTCGGAGGCATCATGGCTTCTGGGGAAAGAAGAAGGTACACCCACAAGAAGGTACTGTGGAAGTTCATACATTAAGTTGATTCAGTAATCACCATTGTGGGGAGTATTCAGTGTCCCCCATATAAGAGGAATCTATGAAGAGATTAACCCATATTTTTTAATGTGTCAGAATTCTAATTTGCTTAGTAAGTATTGCCACAACCACAAAAGTAAATACACACTTAAAAGTCAGTTTTGGTTCATGTTTAATGATGGACAATGTCTCAAGCTAATGTCTAGAACTTACCTGATTGTTAAACATTAGCATAGATCTCCCTGAAAGATAATAAATACATTTTTATTATTTATAATAAAATAAAAATTTATTATTTTAAAAATTAATATATTTCTTTAACTAGAGAGTTTTAAATTGACATAAAAATTGAGCATATGGCTGGGCATGGTGGTTCATGCTTATAATCCCAACACTTTAGGAGGCCAAGGCGGGCAGATCACCAGAGGTCGGGAGTTGGAGACCAGTCTGGCCAACATGGTGAAACCCCTTCTCTACTAAAAATACAAAAAATTAACCGGGTGTGGTGGCAGGCGCCTGTAATCCAGCTACTCAGGCCGCTTAGGCAGGAGAACTGCTTGAACCCGGGAGGCAGAGGTTGCAGCAGGCCATGATCACACCATTGTACTCCACCCTGGACAGCAAGAGCGAAACTCCATCTCAAACAAAAAAAAACTGAGCATGTAATACACAAAGTTCCCATATCCTTCTGTCCCCTCACCCTCACTTCCTAATTTCATCTATTATTAACATCTTACATTAATGTAGCACATTTGCTAAAAGTAATGAGAAAATATTGACATATTATCTGGAGTCTATCATTTACATAACGTTCATTCTTTGTTACACATTTAATATGACGTTTGAAATATTGGTAACATTATGTTCACCATTATGTTCTCATAAAGAATATGTTCACCTCCCTAAAAATCCCCTCTTCTCGCTCATTAATCTCTGTCCTCTTTCTCCAGAAACCTTGACAACTATTAATATTTTCACTGTGGGCCGGGTGCGGTGGCTCAAGCCTGTAATTCCAGCACTTTGGGAGGCCAAGGTGGGCGGATCACGAGGTCAGGAGATCGAGACCATTCTGGCTAACATGGTGAAGCCCCCTCTCTACTAAAAAAATACAAAAAACTAGCCGGGCAAGGTGGGGGGCGCCTGTAGTCCCAGCTACTCTGGAGGCTGAGGCAGGAGAATGGCGTAAACCCAGGAGGCGGAGCTTGCAGTGAGTGGAGATTGCGCGACTGCTCTCCAGCCTGGGCGACAGAGCGAGACGCCATCCCCCCCCCCAAAAAAAAAAATATTTTCACTGTGGCTTCAGTTTTGCCTTTTCCAGAATGTCATATAGTTGGAATCATATGTTGGTTTTTCAGATAAATGTATTTCACTAAATTGATATATATTTAAGCTTCTTTCTTGTCTTTTTTATGCCTTAATGGCATAAAATGCATATTAAATCACCAAATAATACTGCATTAAATGGATTTCTGTCTTTATTTACCTCTTGAAGAATTTGGTAGATTTCATGAGAGAAACCATCCTAGTCTGGTGCTTTCCTTTTCGGAATGCTCTTAATGTGAATTCAACTTATTTAATAGACACGAGCTTATTCAAATGATCTAGGATTCTATTGTGACCTTGGGAAGAGTGTCTTTCAAGGACCTGACACATTTCACTGAGGTTATCGAACTGTGGTCATAGAATTGTTCATGATACTCCCTGATTATCCTTTTAGTGCTCAATGGTTCAGTCGAGATGGCTCCTCTATTATTTCTGAAATTGGTCATTTTTGTTACCACCTTTTTCTTGGTTAGCTTGCATAGAAGTTCCTTCATTGTAATGAGCATGTCAAAGAACCAGCTTTTGGTTTTAATGATTTTCTGATGATTTCAGCGTTTTAATTTTATTGACTTCTGCAGTGTTGTTTATTACGTGTTCTACTTGCTTTACATTGCATTCCTTTATTTTCTACAGTTTCCTACTTGAAACATGATATTACTGATTTTAGATCTTGTGATTTTTAATATATTGCATCCAATGCTATAAATTTCCCTCTACGGACTGCTTTTGTTACATCTAGACATCTTGTCAAGTCACATTTTCATTTAAGGTAGTTAACGGTATTTTTAACTTTCTATTGAGACTTCTTCTTTAACCCATGAGTTATTTAAAAGTGCAATGCTAATTTGCAAATATTGGGGGATTTTTCTGGCTTTTACAGTTGATTTTTTGTTATCAGGTATGTGTTGCAAAAGCGGTGATCTCTCATCTTGCCACCACCCAAGATGGCCCAGGATGTGGGCTCTCCTTCAATGAATGTTTGGTAATCTGCCAACCGGATGTGGTCGGCCTCCTCCTTTTTTTTTTTTTTGAGATGGAGTCTCGCTCTGTCGCCCAGGCTGGAGTGCAGTGGCCGGATCTCAGCTCACTGCAAGCTCCGCCTCCCGGGTTTATGCCATTCTCCTGCCTCAGCCTCCCAGTAACTGGGACTACAGGCGCCCGCCACCTCGCCCGGCTAGTTTTTTGTACTTTTTAGTAGAGATGGGGTTTCACCGTGTTAGCCAGGATGGTCTCAATCTCCTGACCTCGTGATCCGCCCGTCTCGGCCTCCCAAAGTGCTGGGATTACAGGCTTGAGCCACCGCGCCCGGCCTGCCTCCTCCTTTAGTCTGAACTTGCCTTCTGCTTAGAAAGGGCCATTCTCAGTTCTAGCAGGGAGTTTTCCCAAAGTTGAGAAGGTGACATTCTTACTCCCCAGTGCAGCCTGTACCTCTGACCCGTGGTCAACAGACAGGACAGACACGGGCAGGCTCTGTGTCCTAAAACAGAAGGAACTGTGCGACCGTCGTGATTGGAAATTTGTGAGGATCACCGTGTTACTCAAGTAAGGTTTTTGGAAGTGTCGTATTACTACTGTTTGTTAACTGCTTGTTGGTGGCCTGGCTGAGCCACACCCTTATGAAAACCAGTACCCGTCAGCCAATGTGGGTGTCTGTGCAGCCTGAGACCCTCATGAGAACAGCCTCATGGCAGCTGTCTTTTCCCCTTGCCACCATCAGTGCCTCCATGTTCTTGGGCACTGCTTTCTCTGATGGGTGCTGGGTGCTCCACTGTTTTCCTGCACCTCAGTGTCTATAGCTGGATGTCTCTTCTGGAATCTAGGTGAGGGGGCATCAATAGCAGTTCTGCTGTGGCACTGCCCTCCTTCTTAGCTTGTGTTGCTCTGTCTCAGGCTCCCTCAACGATGCCACCCTTCAGGATCTTCCACAAGTTTCCTATTGGCATCCAAGCAGAAAAATATGAGCAATATGACCAACCGTATACCCACTGAAGACATGAATGAAGAATTAAAACAATTCTCCATGGACTGACTGTACCTCATATAAATCCCTAGAAGTAGTTTCTTAAAAAAAAATCAAGGAAGATGTAATGCTTTTCCATGAATTAGAATATCCTACATGAACAATTAAATGAAATGGCTAGCATAGTCTTGAAACCAAAACCAGATAAGGTAAATTAAATCCTGTGATATTTTAAAATACTGTAAATTCTGACTAATGCAAGTTAATCTCAAAATATGAAATGGTGTATTAACATTGAAAATGCAGTAAAGTAGCTACCTCAAGAGGTTAATGGAGAAACAATGTGATTATTACAATAGATTGAGGAAATTCATGGATAATATTCACCATATATTTACAGGACAACTATCTTATAAACTTTAAGTGATCTATGACAACCATTTGAATTAATGCTGCTTTAGCAGCATATCTTTTGGCTTGTTAAAAACTGGACAAGAATTTTCATAACATTTATTTTTAACACCTATATTGGGCATGAACCCATCATAAAGTTTGCCCACTGAAAATGTATACAATTTGATGTTTTATTAAATTGATACTGTGTGCACCCATCACCACGATGTAATTTAAAAATGTCTCCCTCACCCAAGTGCTTGCCCACTGGCAGTTCATCCCCACTCCCATCTCCAGCCCTGAGCATTGCTGCTGTGATATTCCATCTCCATAAATTTCCCGCCTCCTTAATAGAAACGGACATATATATATATATTTGGAATCTGGCTTCCTTCATTTAGCACACTGTGTTTGAAGTGAGTGGACGCTTTAGCACGTGCTGGTCGTGTGTTGTCCTTCATAGTCTGCTGTGTTTATTCACACAGATAGTGTTCATTCACTTATCAGTTAATGGACATTCAATTGTGGTTTTTTTCTATGATGAGTAATGCAGCTTTGAGCATTCATATGTAGTCATGTAATGCATAGTGATATTTTGGTCAATATATACATTTTTTGAGACCCAGAGTAGAGTGCAGTGGCTTCCGGGTTGAAGCAGTTCTCATGCCTCATTGTTCTGAGTTGCTGGGGCAATAGGCACACACCACCATGCCAGGATAATTTTTGTATTTTCATTAGAGACAGGGTTTTACTGTGTTGGCCAAGCTAATCTCAAATTCTTAGCCTCAGGTGATCCACCCACCTCTTCCTCTCATAGTGCTAGGATTATAGGCATGAGCCACCATGCTTGGCCTAAGTTTTTTAAGAAACAGAACTATTTTCTAAATTAGCTTTGCCAATTTATATTTCGACCATGATTTATAGCACTAATTTCATTGCACAGTGTATGGTAGGCCTCAACATGTAAGAAATGATGAAAGCAACACATAAAGATTACTGTAAAACAAATACGATTATCATTGTTGCTGTCATCTTTATCAAATTCTCAAAACAATCTAAGAGTCTGTTTTTATATAAATGTGCTTGACAACATAGCTGAAAAAAGCATTATCAGTTACATACTTTTATCAGTAACACAGAAATTTTAAGGGGGAAAAAACACATGTTCTCACAACACAAAGTCAGAATTAACAGAAAAATTCTGCCAGTCACTTTGGACTATTTAACTGCCTGGGGCAGGGTTCTGTAGACAAACGAGCATCTATGGAGCACCTGAAGTAGGGGAATCAACAAAACTTGGGTTTCAAAAGTTACCTGGGTTTACAGCATGAAACTCGGTTGGAGGACACACACCTTGCGTGAGCGAGGTGCCTCGGTGTGTGTGGACGTGTTGGAGGTACAGCATCATGGTGGCTTCCTCCAGAAAGGGACATTTGGGGTGGATTCATTCCATCTGGACAACACAGCCTGATGTGGCATGGACACGAATGGAGGTGAAATGGACAGTAGCCGAGAGGATCAGTCCTGACAAGGGCCAAGGTGAAAAACCTGGGAACCCCTTCAGGTGCATTGTCTTCAGTTGAAAAAGGAAGTGGTCATAGGAAATACTGAGATGGCCGGGCGCGGTGGCTCAAGCCTGTAATCCCAGCACTTTGGGAGGCTGAGACGGGCGGATCACGAGGTCAGGAGATCGAGACCATCCTGGCTAACACGGTGAAACCCCGTCTCTATTAAGAAATACAAAAAACTAGCCGGGCGAGGTGGCGGGCGCCTGTAGTCCCAGCTACTCGGGAGGCTGAGGCCGGAGAATGGCGTGAACCCGGGAGGCGGAGCTTGCAGTGAGCTGAGATCCGGCCACTGCACTCCAGCCTGGGTGACAGAGCGAGACTCCGTCTCAAAAAAAAAAAAAAAAAAAAAAGGAAATACTGAGATGGATCAGCAGTGCACGGGAGACAGAGTTCTTGGCCCTGCAGAGTGAGTAGTGTGGATTCTCAAGTTTTCTCCTCTCTCCATTAATTCCTCTTCCAATGCAGACTATTTCGAGCACGAGATTCCAAAGTACTGTGAGCCTTGGCCCGGTCTCGAAGGTAAAGGAAGGCTGCTAGCAAGACTGGCATCTGGGCTTGGCTGTGTGTGTTTTCTGCTGTGGGAAAATATACATAACACAATATTTATCATTTGAACCTTTTAACCAAAGTGTGTATGCAGTGGCATTAAAAATATTCACAGTGTTGCATAACCAACACCACTATCTACACCCACGATTTTGATGATTTCTTACAAACCTTGTCCACAGTAAGCAATATATCCCTATTTCCAGCTCATGGTAATTCCTATCCCACCTTCTCTTGTATGAATTTGATTATTCTAGGCACTTCATATAAGTACAATTAGACAATATATTCCTTTTGTGTCTGGTTTATTTCACTAAGCACAGTATTTTCACTGTCCACCCATGTTGTATCATCTATCAAAATTGTGTTCCTTTTTTACAGATGGATGATATACCATTGCATGTAGATCACCTTGCTTTTATTACATTCATTTGTTCATTGATAGTTGGATTATTTCCACCTTTTGGCTCCTGTGAGAAGTGATGCTGTAAACATTAGTGTACAAATATCTGTTTGATTTCTGTTCTCTATTCTTTGGGGTATATACTTGAGTCGAATTCCTGGGTCTAAAGGGAGTTATATATTTAACCTTCTGAGCCATTGCAGACTGTTTTTCACAGTGGCTGCATCTTTATCCATTTCTACCAGCTAATGTATCAGGGTTACAATTTCTTTACATCCTTGTCCACACTTACTTTCCTTTAAATCATCCTAGTATATTGGTGTCTACTTGTGTTTTTCAATTGCATTTCTCTAATGACTATTGATGCTGAGCAGCTTTTCCTATGCCATTATCCGTGGGTGTATATTCTTTAGGGAACTATATGTTCAAGTCTTTTGCCAATTTTTAAAGAGTTGTCTGGGGCCAGGCACGGTGGCTCACGCCTGTAATCCCAGCACTTTGGGAGGCTGAACCGGGCAGATCACGAGGTCAGGAGATCGAGACCATCCCGGCTAACACGGTGAAACCCCATCTCTACTAAAAGTACAAAAAAAATTAGCCAGGTGTGGTGGCGGGCATCTGTAGTCAGAGCTACTCAGGAGGCTGAGGCAGGAGAATGGCGTGAACCTGGGAGGCGGAGCTTGCAGTGAGCCAAGATCGTACCACACACTCCAGCCTGGGCGACAGAGCAAGACTGTCTCAAAAAAAAAGAAAAAAAAAAGTTCTCTGATTTTCATTTAGTTTGTTTTAGATTGTTGGGAGGTTTAAAATATGTTCTACATTTTAGTCTCACAAGATAAATGATTTGCAAATATTTCCCCCTTTTGTAGAACTTTAGATGCACAAAATTCATTAATTTGTATGAAATCCTCAGCAGTTGGCCCCAAACAGATAAGACTGAAGCAATATTTTAGGAATAGTTGAAAGTATTATCACCACAGAACAGGCGTAATGAAATCCTGCAAGCTACACATAACCACAATGACAGATAAGGCAGCAAAGGGCTGTTTGGTGATTAGTTCACCACACTTGTTGCAACTGTTTGTGCTGCAGAGTTAAGACATACCAGCATTCAACCCATGTCTCCTCTCTTGAAATAAACAGTCCAATGTTGGCTGGCCTGAACAAGCACAGATATTCTCCATACTCAATTAATATGCATGCATGACGAAGAAAAGGAGGTCTGGATGGAAAAATATTGTGTGATTAATAATTATGCTTTAATTAATTTTAAAGGATATAACTTCAGTATTTCCAATTCTTCCATCAGCAGTTATAACAAAGGGTTAGTGAATAAATACAGTAGACTGTTTTGCCTAGAATTGAATCCAATCTGTCTACTAAACTTTGCTTTTATTCAAGTGCAAAATGCTAAAACATAATAACTGCAGTGACAGCCAGTGTGGATCCACAGAGGTAAAAATGGTCTTGGGACATAAATCCTATAAGCTAATACTATTTTACAGGGTTTAGAAAACCATTTAGCTGGGTTTCAAACCTCACGGTGTGAGCAGTGGGACTCTCATCCGATTATAGCGTGTGCTTCAGTACCATTTGTAGACTGACTCATTCCCGTTGCCTTAAGTTGCCATCAGCAAAATGCCAGGGACTCTGTTTCTCGCTCCTCAGCTCCTCGCTCTGTCTTTCAATGAGGGAAGATTTTTTAGCAGCAGCTCAAGCTGTGCTTTTAATGAAACACATCCACACACACTGTCGTGTTGTCCACATTAAGCAGAGCTCACTGAATAACTCATGAACAAAAGCATCTATGATTAACCATTGCTCTGTGTCCTTCTAGCCTCTGAGGAGTCTCCAGCTCTCAAGGACAGAGGAGATGGAGATAGGCCGGTCAATACGAGGGTAAGGTTGCTTTCCTTTCCCTGAAATAGAAATGTTCCTTTCTTGGCGTCTGTCTTGTTCAACTGACTTTACATGTGAAAAAACGACAATGTCCGTTACAGATATTAAATGCAGTTTTCTGAGGGGACAGAAGAAGCGACTCTTAGCAACTGATATGTAATCCAAAATTGCATTTACCTCTGACGGCTTCAGGTTGTAGACTGTATCCTTGGGGTCCTTGTCCTTGGAAGCAATGTCTTCTCCTTGGATTCAGTATTTTGCACTTGCCAAGCTACGTGGACCTGAGGGATCCACCATCCAGAAGTTGATATCTTTTCTAGTGTGTATCCTACCCTTGTTTGGGGGGGTCTTGAATTTGACCACACTTTCTGACCTTGTTTTCAGTATTCATTGAGAGAAATAAAGCCTTGTGCAAACAATCCACAACACGACGTACCCCTCACGAAGTCTTGTTTCTGTATTGCAGGTGATGCAGGTGGTCCCTCTGAGGTGTGACTCTAGTAAGTATTCTGGAATTACTTGCAAAGAAAACAATCTGGATGCAAAGAAAGGTGTGGTATCCTTGCAGGTTTCAATGTGAAGAGCCACCCTGAGCCTGGGATTGGGATAGGAATAAGCAGAGTGGAAGTGTTTTTAAAAAACCCGAGTTCCCCAGGGAAAAAGTTATCGCCAATTTTTGAGGAAGCAGCTGTGCTGCCTTTTGGGTGGTACTGAGTTGGGTGCTTGAGGATTGGTGGTGTCTTGTGTGAGGCTGCATCATGTTGGGGGGGGGGGTGTGTGTGAGAGTGTGTGTGTGGGTGTGTGTGTGTACAGGTGAGGCTGTGTGTGTTCTCAGGAGAGATTTCCCATTTATACAACTCAATCACCAGTGTCCACTTCCAACAATAAAATCCATCCCCCTCTACTCTCTCTGTACAGTGACTCCTCCACCCTCACCAGAGCCATCCCTGGGTGTGGCTTCTTATCCCCACTGCTCAGGTGGAGAACCTGAAGGGCCAAGGGAGTGGCCCCAGCTCCCGAGTTCGTGAATGAGAAAGTGAAAACACGAACCCAGGAGAGGGGGCCAGTGCTGACGTTGACATGCACTTAGTCGTGGGGTGTTCGCCACCATGCAGGGAGTCCAGCATTCGTGTATAAACCCTAAAGGACAGAGCCTAAGAGGTCCCAGACACTGCCCATCACCATAAAGTGGCCTCTGTGGTCACACGACCCAGGGCACATCTCCCCACCGACCAGCGTAGTTATCAGTGTGTCACAAGCACAAAGATCCCCGGGGGTTTGGGTCAGCTCACAGAGCCTGTGTTTTTTGTTTTTTGTTTTGTTTTTTTTTTAACTTTTATTTAAAGTTCGGGGTACATGTGCAGGATGTTCAGGTTTGCCACATACATAAACGTGTGTTGAGAGTTTGTTGTACAGATTTCATCACCCATATATTAAGCCTAATATCAGCTATTTGTCCTGATCCTCCCGCTCCTCCCACCTCCCACCCTCCAGTAGGCCCCACACTCACAGATTCTAAGAGGAGTGGGGGACCACGCAGTGCAGCCCACTTCAGTTGTGAAGTTAATTTGCTCAGCAACTGGCCAAAGCCTATAAGGATGGGTGATGTATTTTAGTAGATTTAGTAATATTATCTTCCCAAGCCCTAAAATGCTCAAATCCTGCCAGCTGAAAATGGTGAGGAGGGACAGATGGGAACTCTGTACAGTAGTTATTAGCCTGGCTTCCGTCCCCTCGTGGCAACTCTCTTGTGCATGTGGGTTAAAGACCCTCAGCCTCAAGCCAAGCCGCCTCCCTGAGGAGCCATCTCACTATTGACTGGCTAGTGCCGTGTATGGCCATCAGCCCAACTGAAACAAAACGTGGCTTTAAAACAAGTGTAAATCTCATACGACAGGCAAATGCAGAAGCAGCATGTCTTGCAAGTTGTAAAGAAGACAGTTGCAGTGTCGCTGGACTTCAACGTGGGTAGACGACATGAGGGAACTCTGTCACTGAATCACGGCAGAGTTCAAGGCCACTTGTAGACTATTTCATGTTACAGAAGGTGGCCTTTAGCTCCTAAGCAAAGACCTCTGTTTCTCATTTCTTCCCTGTTCATCCTCTTGGTCATCCTTCTTCCGCAAGGGAAAACAGCCCAAGCAAAAGGCAGTTTCAGTATTAATCTGACCGAGGTTTTGTGCAGTTTATCATCATCCAGGTAATCAGGTGCAACCCGGTCTGCCTACCAGCCCCCCTGCCTCTGCTCTGTGTTTTCATTTAATAAACATTTTGGTCTACTTACTATGTGTTAGATTTTCTGGAGACCACAGAGTAAATGAGATAGAATCTTTATGTTGACAGCTAAGTTAGATTTAACATAACTGACAAAAATTAAGATTTCTGATTTCTTGTAAAAATATTTTGTATGTGTGAATGCATGCTGAATGTAAAGTGGTTAACAAAAAAAATCACACTTGCACTCATGGAGGGCTTTTCAGGAATTTGTCAATTTGTATTTTTTTGTATTTCCCCACGTCACTGGATAAAGCATATCTGAACCTGGAAGCTGATTCCCACTGCAGAAAGCGTTCTGAGTCACGTCTCTTAGCTTCACTAGCACAGATCCACCTGGGAGGATGGCCCAGCATCAGCTCGGCCCATGCTGTGATCAGCCACCTCCATGCACCACACCAAGCAAGCTCCCTGGGTGATTCACAGTCTCCACCACCAGGGCACTGACCTTTACTCTCTGTTCTCCTAGCTCCCTATGGGGACCCTGTACAGGACATTGCTAACGAGGACGCTGTGCGTGACATCGCTAATGACACTGTACGAAACATCTGTAATGAGGACGCCCTATATGAGATCACTAATGAGGCCGCTGTACACAATACTAATCAGCATGCTGTACAAGACATCTGTAAAAAAGACGCTGCCAAGGTAAGACACTTTTATCTTGAACAGAAATGATACTTTCCTGGTTCTTTCCAATCAGATGTAGACATGAACATCTGCCAATGTGCATTATTTATGACATCTGCAATTCCCTTGGTGTGGTGCTATTGATTGGCAGCCTCTCACCAACCCATGCCGGGCACGCGGGGGCGTGGTAGATGGCGGCATCCACGATCCACCGCAATGTAGAGGTGTTTCCCTCCACAGCAGTTTCCCCCGTGGATTAAGAGTTGTGAAACTGTCAATCTAAATACACTTTAAAGATAAATTCTGTGGGAAAATATCTTGTCTTTTCCACAGGTATCCTCCGTGCTAGTTTGGGGGGAGTTCAACCTTTGACTCAATCACTATATCCCTTCTAATTTTTCAAGTTTTTGAGAGAATATCAGATCTGTGTGACATGCATGGCATCATTTCACCCTCCTGTTTTCTATAATTGCAGGAGCCATTTATACTGGAAAACGGTACGTACCCTGAAATAACTCACTTCCTGAGGGAAAAACGCTGTCTATAGGGTATAGAAACCTGATTCTGGGCTCCTTTTGGGAAGGAGGATTTGGGATCTGGTGAGAGCAGATGATTTTGCAAGTATAAAACAATGTCCAGAGAGGCTGGAGGGATGTCTGTGAACCAGAGGAAACACCAGGGGATCCTGTGTGAAGCACCGGGGCTTCAGCTGGGGTGCGAGGAGTGGGTGGGCCTCTCTCTAATGACTTAGCCTGGTGTTTGTGTTTCTAAAGATTTGATTGTGGAGAGCATATCTGACGACGAGGATTTTGCAGGTAGGTAACTACTTTCCAGGTAAGATCCAATGGGAGAGAGTTCCCAGGGCCTTCGGGGTATCCATGCTGCTTGGGAGGTTGAGGGAGGGGGCATGAAATCAAAAAGAAAAAGGAAATATGTGTCAAATTGGATTTGGTGTTTTCCAGGTTTCTTGCCATAATGTAAGAACTGTCTCTGTGGGCTGGGAGGGTGCTGAGTGATTTGAAGGTGATCTTTCCCAGAACACCTGGCCTTTTCTGCCTCTGCCTCTGCCAAACATCACAGCCTTTGGGTTGGACTGGTCAGCACTCCTTGGGATTGTGCAGAAGAGGTTTGGGGTTGCATCAGGAGGCACCTGTGGCGAACAGAATCTGAGGGACACAACTCCCTCACAGGCACTTACTTGAACCTGGAGACACAGTTCTCCTGGTGTGTGCCCAGGGGTGCAGGAGAAGTTCATGGTCATCCTCTGAACTTTTAGGACTTTAAAAAGCACTCACGTTTCCATCTCGCTGTTGACTCCTAGCTTAAAGGGAGCTCCCGGGGTGAGTGACGGAGGCGGGATCGGACCCTGGCAGTCTGACGGCAACACCTGTGTTCCTCTGCACTGGGCCATGGACAACATTACACACCTTGGTGAGCATCAGAATTCAGGCTAACCACATCTGAAATTGAGATGGACCTTGAGACATGTAAATAGTTTGGAAAAGATGCATTTTATCACCCTGTGGAAAGAAAGCATTTATTTCTCACTCCAGCAGGATAAATGGTTTTACAGTATCTACTTAACTGCTCATTGACTCTTACTGTAGATGAGGAGATGGCAAGCAGCCCCTGCCCTCCCCGCGTTGTAGGCCCAAGGTAACCAGCAATTGGCTGGATATAACGGAAGAGGGGTGCATTCGGAGGTATCTGTATTAATGGGACCCGCATGATATGGGTGACAGCTATTAGGGTGAGAAAAAACCTGGGAGCACAATGAAATATGTAAATATTCAAACATTGTTGAAATCTCCATGGTACTTTAATAGTTGAAGTCATTCTTGTCATCACTGCCTTTCCCAAACATAACAAGCTACTTAATGTCACATGGACCCATGCCATGAGGAATGACGATCAGTTTGTAAAATGCCAGTAAAACCATTGCGTTTATCAGCCACAATATTTCATCCATACATTTCAATGTCCATGTGTAAGTATAGTTCAAATATCAGAAATTTATTATCATCTAGTAGAATATGCATAGTGTATCAATGAGCAATAATTATCATACTGTTTCTATTAACAGTTATTTGATGAAAAACACAGACTCCCATTCTTGGAGTTTTCTGAGTTTGCACACATTAGCATGACAGCCCCATGTTCACCTGACGTGTGCCAGCAGGAGGCCAGGAACAGAGGCTTTTCTTATTAGCTAAGGTTTCTAAATGTATTACGTATTCACAGTTAGAAATAACTCTAAATATCATAAAAGGTTAGTAAGGAAGTTTCCCTTCCACTCTGAACTTCCAAACAGCAAGTCAACATTTTTGTTCACATATCATCCCTACAATCTACGTGCAAATAGAAACATGTATCTGGCATGCATGCTGATGCGTGATCGTGTTTATACAAAGTCTCTGCACCTCTGCATATACCACTGGGCAATGCACCTTAGTTATCATTCCACTTTTCAACTGTAAATCCATTGTATTGTTTCAGAGCTATGAAGTACTGCATCCTATGACTCTTCCCAAAATTACTTAAGCACCGCCCTCTGGGTATCCATTTGTTCTGTTTCCAGTCTTGCTCTTATGACCAATGCTGTAGTGAACAGCACTGTGTTGAGTGAAGTGGTGAACGTGGCATCTTTGTCTTGTTCCAGTCCTCAGGGAGAATGCTTTCAACTTGCCCCATTCAGGATAATGTTGGCTGTGGGTTTGTCATAGATGGCTTTTATTACCTTAAGGTATGTCCCTTCTGTGCTGATTTTACTGAAGGGTTTTAATCACGAAGAAATGCTAGATTTTGTCAAGTACTTTTTCTGCATCTATTCAGATTATCATATGATTTTTGTTTTTAATTTTATTTATGTGATGTATCGCACTGATTGACTTGCATATGTTAAACCATCCCTGCATCCCTGGTATGAAACCCACTTGATCATGGTGGATTATCTTTTTGATATGCTGTTGGATTCAGTTAGCTTGGATGTAGCATTTATTATTATTCCAATCTGTGGAATGTATTGGTTTAAATAATGAAAACATATTTTCACTGCTTAGCACTTTGTTTCTTTAACAGCCTTCCCAAAAGGGCAGCATAAAAGCAGGAGCCCCACTAGTCTCCCCTTAACCTGGAATCCCCCCTTCTCCACAGCTCGCTGATTGGACAGGATAGACTGAGCACCCAGGCCTCAAGATAAGGACACACTCTGTCACCTAGAGGTGCAGTGCCTGGGAAGGCCAACCGTGGAGGGGCGCTGCCAGCTTTACAGTGATAGAGGTGTTCGGAGGGACTGACCACCAATTCATAAGGCTGTGCTTTGTTGGTGACGTCAAGGATTGTTTTGCAGATTGTTGGGGAGGGACAATCCCAAGGCCTCACCTGGCCCTGGTCCTGGCTTTGCACAAAGGCAATAAGAGAGGAATGCTGGTCAGGGCTGACCTGTTGCTGTGCTGGGGAGGAAGGTGCTGGGCTGAAATTCAGGAGGCTGAGGATGCAGCAGTCCCATAGGAGGTGTATGACCTGCAGCATATGGTTTCTTAATTGATGATAAATGGAAATGATAAATCATTGACTATTTTTTCTATCATTGGATAGCTACACTCTACTGCTGGTGCTGTTCCTGTCTTTATGGAGAAGATAGAGGATCAATCAGTGTGTGCTGCACTGAGTGGAAGGAAGGAGAACTGCAACGAAAATTAAGGGAGGATGAGGGATGGGAGGGCCCTTCATCCAGGTGCTCGCAGAGTCCTCCAGAGGAGGAAAGCCCCGTGGCTCCCTGGGGAAGGAGCCGTGAGGGCTGCGTGACTCCCACAGTGAAGTGTGTGGTATGTCTGAGGACACCCAGGCTGGTCTGTGAGGAGCCAGTGGCAGAGTGAGAAGCAGCAAGGCCAGGAGGGTGACTGGAGGCCAGGCTCTGGGTCATTCTCCATGTGATGGAAACAGATGGAGCCCAGTGGGCTGGGAGGTGCAGGACGTGGTGGCTGATGACAGAACAATGCGGAGAGAAGTGCCAGGTGTCAAATCCTTACTTCGTTCTGGGCATTGTGCTAAAACTTCCCGTGGCTCATCCCATTTAGGGACTGAAAGTTGCAGAGGTTTAGGAAACTCGCCTACAATACTGGAGCCCCCATCTCCTGCCCCAGTGCTGTCCCCCTTCTCACCCAGCCACCACCTGTGTCAGGGGAACACACAGAAGTGGTAACCTTTTATGGACAGGGAAGTAAATTCTGTTTTTGTTATTCACAGAAAAAAACATTGGCTCCTGTGGGTTGGGAAGGTGAAATACCAGAAGTATTTCATCTGGTTATTTCTACCAACGTGAATTCTGTAGTATTGAAATGCATAGGTTAGCATTTTTGGCCAATTTACCCAGCATTCTGGGGTAAAGGCTTTTATTTAATAATTAATTAATTTATTTTTGAGACGGAGTTTCACTCTCATTGCCCAGGCTGGAGTGCAACAGTACTATCTTGACTCACTGCAACCTCAGCCTCCCAGGTTCAAGCGATTCACCTGCCTCAGTCTCCCAAGTAGCTGTGATTATAGGCTCATGCCAACATGCCTGGCTAATTTTTTGTATTTTTAGTAATGAGTTTCACCATGTTGGTCAGGCTGGTCTCAAACTCCTGACCTCAGATGATCCTCCCACCTTGGTCTACCAAAGTGCTGAGATTATGGGCATGGGCCATACAAATATGGCAATACAAAATACAAAAATGGCAATCTCTTTTATCACACAAATAACTTTTTAATAGTGATTTTTTCTAATTGATGAATTATGTACTTTTCATTTACTAATTATTAATTGCTTACATTTGAAGTGTTTTACAAATTAATATTTAATTGCATAGATGAAGATTACTAGTCATAGACATTTTACTAAGCAATACTCATTAAGCACAGCATGGATTCATGTGATGTCGAGGGGCTATTTTATCTGGTGAAAGGAAAAAGCACAAGAACGAATGCAAGAGCTGGACCAGTGGAGACACCGACAGTGATCTAAGATCTAAATCACTCTGTTGTCTTCCCGGCCTCCTGATCATCCTCATCACTGTCGTCAGCATAGTTGGGTCCTTTTAGCACAGATTTCTCAAAATGGGCAACTCCGTAACACTTGGAAGCTTATGAATTCATAGAATTTGTAAGAGTGCAATTTGGGAGTACCTATCGATTTTAAAATTCTAATAACCTGGTAATTTCATCCCATGTCTGGAGTGTTTTACGTAAAATATTTCCACAATTAGGATAAATATGTGCATGGGGATTTTCTATGTTGCAGTGTTTTAATGGAATAGAAAATTGGTAAAACCAAATTTCCATCACAAAGGAAATAGTAATACACTGAATAATAATACAGCGAATATTATACTGGCTTTAAACATCAAAAAAGAGCTCAACTTCTGACTTCCGATGATGGTGTTGAAGTAGGTCACAGCTGGTCGACATTTGATTTTCGTGTGGGAACCCTGGAAGTCTGCCTTAGTGATTTTACATGTGGCTAAATTTAGCTAATGAAAAGCTATTGGAAGTATGGAAAAATGGAACTTTAAAACTACCTCATCAACAACCAAGTGGACCTGTTTCACGTAGAGCCCACGCATTCATCTGCCTGTCCATCACTCTGTCTGTCCACATGGGCATCATTTGTTAGTGGAACTGAGTGCCCACTGTCGAGCTGACAAGCCCATAACCTCCCTGTTCCTAGTCACACATTAATTCTTCAACAAATCCCTTTTGATAGATTGTGATTAAGCTTAGCCGCTATTTCCAATTGCTTCCCCAAATGTACTTCTCCCTGTTCTCCCATCACACCCTTCAGCCCATCCATGCGGGTTTCCTTTGCTTTTCCCACCTTACACCAAACTCCCTATTTTCACTCCCACTTTTACCTCCTCTCCAAGACAAAACAAACAAAACTAGCATTTTAAAACTTAGTTGTAATCTTTGTTCCTTCATGAAAATTTCTCCAACAGCCACTCTTACGGCTCTGTGTGTTCCGCATATTTTAAAATATTGGGTATAAGGTTGAACACGTCAGGATATGCTGTTTCGGGCTGCACACTGTTTTGTTTGTATTGATTCTTCCTATTGGAGGCGTGGTCATTGCCTTCTCCTCCTCTGGGGAGTTTATGCCAGTGCTCTTGAACAAGATTGACAATTTTTCTTTTTATACTTAATTTTTTTTTGTTTAGTATTAAGATAACAGTATTCTCATCAAATTAATTGAAAGTAGCCCCCTTCATTAATTTCATGGAAATCTTTCAATCAGATTAGAATGACAACTCCATTGTAATTTTGGATTTAGCCAGTAATACTATTAGGGCTCTGTGTGTGAGAGAGAGCAGGAGAGAAAAAGAGCAAGGGAGAGAAAGAGACAGAAAGAGACAAAGACCAATATTTTTTTTTTTTTTTTTTTTTTTTTTGAGACAGAGTCTCTCTCTGTCGCCCAGGCTGG